GCTTAGTGTTATGTTAGAATCAGTATTATACTTAATTTATTTTGTTTTCATTTAAATGTTTAGTTTTGAAATGTTGTTGTATGCATTTGTCATTTTTATTGAATTTATTTTATTTTCTTAAATGTGTGTATATATATATATAGTATTTATAGAGTTTTAGCTTTTAGTTTTAATTACTTTTTCTTATTTGTAAGTCGCTTTGGATAAAAGCGTCTGCTAAATGACTAAAAGTAAAGTAAAAGTAAATAACACTGACATCTGCATAACCCTCATAACTGCAGAACTCCATCAGCTGCCCATTCAGATTATTTTTTTGGACTAAGGATTGTAGTTAAAAAAATAAAAAAATAAAATCTTGTCAAAAATATTCCCTGTTCTCCAGTCTGTCAGGGCATAGCAGCTGTTGAACTATTCCTGGGCTCCCTGAAGGAAAGAGCGCTAAAGCACACTGATCTAGATAGATGTTTTTGTCAGTCTATGTATTGATAATCAGAGAAGAGCAATGTAATCCAAGAGGCTGGATTGTATGAGAGACATGCAGTTCCATGGCTGTAATAATCATAGCACTGATAATCTTAAAAGCAACAGCCAAAATGTAATTAAGGAGCACTATCATTTTATTTGTCCATTAGTTTTACAAAATATGTATATATTAATAGCTTTCATGGATAAATTAAACAATAAATATATGACATAATGTCTGAGCCATTGACCCAGTTCAGTCGAGAACAGAGACTGGTTTGTTTGGGTGTTATAGAAGGAAAATATTAAAGAGAGACAAAGGCAAATGACTGACAGCGACCTAGCCACAAGATCATCAACATGTACATTAATAGACAAGAAGCACAAGGACAAGGAGAAGAACAATGTCACATTCTGTAAGAGAGAAAATTACCACATTAATGAACTAGTACTATTACTCTTTAAAGGAATAGTTTAGTCATGACAAAAAAAAAAGAAAATTAATTTTGATGAAAATGTATCCACCCTCAGGCCATCCAAGATGTAGATGAGTTTGTTTCTTCAGCAGGACAGATTTGGAGAAATTTAGCATTACATCACTTGCTCACAAATGGATCCTCTACAGTGAATGGGTGCACTTTCACTTCTGGCCAGAGCATTAGTCCATAATTCATAATATCACTTCCTCCAGTGAAAAAGTCAATCCTTTGTTGTCCTCTCACATACATGACATAATTGTTCATAACTGTTTTGGACTGTAAACGGTGCTTGATCTGTAAATATTTCTCTCCTAATTCAGATGAGACAACTTTTTCAATTAGAAAAAGTAATATTATGGATATAGGTACGGTATGAACTTAAAAATGTCTTAATGATGGATTTTGTTACAAACATGCAGCTTTTCGCAGCTTTTAATTGGTGGACTGGAGTCGTTTGTTCATTATTGTTTTGTTTTTATCAGCTGTTTGGACTCTCATTCTGATGGCACCCAGTCCTATTCCTTAAAGTTGCTATGCATTCAACAGCATTTACAACCCATTTACTACCAACTTACATCAAGCTTATTTCACCAATCACCAAACAGTCTTAAAGGGGTCATATGATGCTGCTAAAAAGAACATTATTTGGTGTATTTGGTGTAATGAAATGTGTTTATGCGGTTTAAGGTTAAAAAAACACATTATTTTCCACATACTGTACATTATTGTTTCTCATCTATGCCCCGCCTTTCTGAAACGCGTCGATATTTACAAAGCTCTTCAGTCTGAAAAAGCGAGGTGTGCTGTGATTGGCCAGCTATCCAGTGCGTTGTGATTGGCCGAATACCTCAAGCGTGTGATGGAAATGTTACGCCCCTACCATACTGTGATGATGCCCTGTCCGGCCGGAGCGATGATTCAAAAACATGAAAACCCATTATAAACGAGGCATTCGTTGCATCCAGTGGGGACATAATTATGGATTATAATGACTTATACTGTCTTTTTACGCGTTGCGTTGCATCGTGCCGCGTAAACATAAAACCATGTCTGCATTTGTGATCGGAGAAATGACAAACAACAAGCCCTACTCTACACTGCCCAAAAAACTCGCTTTAAATATATAAAATATAAAAACTCTTTAAATATAAAAAATGTACTTACAGTCTTTGAGTCAGAACAGCCGGCATTGTAGTCTACTCTCACAGGATCAGGAAACGGTCCTCCATAAAATGTGCTGCACACATCTGAATATTTGGGTTGAACTGTTCTGGAACACAACTTAACCACTGATTTCTAGTCGTGTCCACTTTCACAACGAAACACACAGCGTCACACACGGCGGCCTAGAGACTCTGCTTCGTCCACGGTGAAAGCCGATCCGGCGATCCACAGCACTAAGTTGATGTATTTCCTCAGCGACCAGCACAGATCAGCTCCAGGTATGACGAAGCGGATATCGTCCTCTTTTGTAAGACCAAACAAAGTAGTTTCGCTTTTACAACGAATTACACAGTGCCTTCACGACGTGGCGGTGGCAACAACAATAATACTACAGCGAGAATAAAAGTTACGCCTTCTTTCTTTACGTGAACATTTGGGCGGCGTTATGCAAATCTTCCCACATAGGGATGTAGATATGTTGGGGCGTGTTAGAACGAGCCGTTTTAGGTAGGCGTGGCTGACTCTTAACTTTCACAGAGTGAGTGTGTTCACAACTATACACCGTATTTGTGTTTTTCTATTCTCATTCTGCACGTTTTCAGACTTCTCATATGAATCTCATGATTTCACGGAAGTTAGTCTTTCAGAAGCTAGAAATAAAGGCAGTCCAGAAATGGGCTTGGTCATGTTTGAACTCTTTCTAGCTGAACCACACCTAAAGCTTTCTATAACTAGTTTAAATGTGGAGCAGCACATAATACAAACCATTTTCTATAGAAGCACAGAGGGCAGTTTTGGCTTTTGTGAGAAGAAAGACTTACAATAGAAATGGAAGATCTGAAATTCGAGACTGGCGCTTTTATCTGTAAACCTGTTAAATATATTAAATAACAGATGAGAACACATTTTGATTGGTAACCACAGCAACAGGCGTTATTCTGGAGTGGGGCAACTATCCTCAGTGGATTGCTTCCCTTTTACTTTAAGGCTGATGATAGACGGGGCAATTTTTTGAGCAATTTTGCTGGGCAACTTTTTTTGAGCAATGTTGCTTGGGCACTTTCCCATCGAGAATGGCTAACAAATTTCAATTTCAAAAACAGAAGGAAATGAAAACAGCATAGCCTCAGACTGCTAGACCGCCAAAATTCCAAACATTCCTGAGCGTGTCTGCTGCTCATATACCACAACTCTACAGTTTAAAACCACAACATATTCACACACTATCACTTTCTGCTTCACACACACACATAAATAATGCACTTAACTGATTTGATGAGAATGATAGTCATCTCATAGTCATAGAGCAGACAAGCTGTGAGAACCGTTTCTTAGCCTACCAAAAAAAATATATTGAAAAAATATAAAAATATATCTTTCTAATGTTTAATGCAAAACTTTGCCCATTTGACACTAATTCTTACATTGTCTCTTCTGCTTTTTAAAATAGAGGAAAATTGTGAATGGGTTTTAAGTACATTTTAATAAATTACATAAATATAATTCCCCTGATGTGATTATGATCCAAAAATAAGTCCATCTTTCAGCCACTGCATCAACAAAATGAGGCCAAATTAACTGTGTTAAGAGGTCTTCTCGTCTGCAAACCTGTTGCATAACCATGTTCTATTTGGATGTTCTCTTTGAACCTTTAATAGACCAAGTTTTCTTTTATTTTTTCTTGTTGCATCAAATAAATTGCATGTCAGGCATTGCAGGTTAAATTGTTAGTTCATGATGCCGCCTATAATTTGTGATGATGGCCAGACAGTGATGTGTGATATGGAAAAGCAAATGGGAGGTTACACGACAAGAAGTGATGCGACAACATGCCGTGGACAAGAGCTGCACTGTTTCCATGTCCGATTCCGTTCTGTATTAGCTAATTAAGTAACAATAGAGCGCGCGAAACATCGACAGGCGTCTCCAAACACGCTCCATCTCCGCCCCTCTCTTTGTCTTCACACGATCCTCCGCTGAACTTCAGCCATCTCTGATAGAAGAGTGCCAAGGAAATGCATGTTGGGTTAACACTTATACCTAGCTATATATTGTGGGGGAAATGTTTTAACATTCTCTATTTTTTTCTGCTAAATAAACAAGATGTGGAAGCGCTCTTTCCTGCGCTCACTCATGCTTTGCGCTGTCCAATTCGTGATTGATTTCTTCTTTTGAGTAGAATCTTTTCAATGAATCGGTTGAACCCGTTTACAAAATCAATCAATCTGCGCGATTCGATCACGATTTGGACGGAATTGGTCCAAGCGGTTCGTAAGCTAATATCAATTCATTTACTACATAAAAAATCGATTCGACCTATGACTGAGCTGATGGTATAATCATTTGGAGTGAACCGAGGATTTTGACTGATGGGGAAGTTACTTTTAATAGCTTTAATATTAGAAATTACACAGATACAGCGCACTGGAACTGTACGAGACACATACAGACCAGATCAGCATTTAACACTATTACCGGTATTACATATTATTTACAGTAGGCGTAGTATTTATTATGCAACAATTGCATGTCAGGAGTAATTTTGCATTGAAACTGGTTGAAACCATTACAGTCTATGGTTGAAACGAACTGTTCAAAAGAACCGATTGAACCAAATGAATCTGACTTAATTCTTCCCACCACTACTACTCTGCTTCAAAAAGAACTCGCTGCATAAAAACACCCCCAAACGTGGCATCATCGCTGCATTTATGTTAAACTGAGCATGCATATGAGGCTGGGCAGATGTAGCGACGCACAATTTGCATTTGAACGCTTTTCTCCGTGATATATTTATGTAATGTGCACGGTTTGGATGTTTTCAAGCGTTATTCATTTCCATCTACTGAAATAATAACATGAATCCAGCCAAGAGTAAGGTAGAATTGCACAAACCTGAATGGTGTTGCTGTAGCGTCCACACAGCTGTTATTTGGAGGCGTGTGTGTCTCTCCGAGCTGTGTTCAGATAGGAAACCGGGCGCTCGACCAATCAGAACACCCGTTTCATATCTTTAAGCGTACGAAGTGAAAGAATGAGTTTAATTGGTTATTTTATAGGGAAATTTGCATACGCATTGTTGTGATGTTGATAAATATAAACTGCGACGTTCACTAATAAAGCAAGATGAAGCTTCAGTTTTTTTTCTTCTGTACACCATGAGGTGAAATATCCTAATAAATATAAGTTATAAGACGACATACGCACGTTTGCGTTTACTAATAAAGCAAGATGAAGCTTCTGTTGTTTTCTATACACCATGTATCCATGTATTCGTATCCTAATAAATATGAGTTATAGAAATATGAGACAAGTTTATATAAGTACCATTAGTCTAGCTGCATGATCAATAATTACGCCTTCTCTGTTGAACATAAAACCTATATAACAACCTTTTTTGTGTTTTAATAAACTTTATTCCTAGTAATTAGCTTTATTAGCCTACAATTTATGCACTTCATTTTTCACTCCCAATGAAAAATGAAAAACTCTTCCACATAAATGATCAAGGTTAAACTATCTGGCTGCTTAGATACGAAATATAAACTGAGATCTGAGAAGTGTATCAAAAGTGCTATTTCCTTTCTTTCTTTCTTTCTTTCTTTCAACAAGAGTTTAGTTTACTTCTACATATGACAATAGCTATGTCTCCCTCTAGTGAGCAAGACGGCGCCATGACATGTTTAGGATAAATTTATGAGGGGAAAAACGAGACACGAGGAAAGCTATGTTTCGCCCTTTTAAATGTATTCAGTGAGCAATAGATTTATATTTGATTTCGGACGATTTTCTGAATATTAATTATGCTCTATTGTGATGCACGAACAATGCTGAATGTCTCGTGTGAAGTGATGCAGAGGAGACTCACGGTGGCGCGCGAAGCTAAAGGATTGTGTGTGTCTCTGGCCTGGGGTCACCACGGGTCACCGCCTCTCGCATGACAACACATCGTCTGGAGGATCAACATTTTTTCCCATCAACGTAGGAATTTCAAATCTAACAAATGCGCGCAACATACTAAATGACAAAAGTTTATAGTATGCGTATTATAGGGTACTTGCAGATGCAATTGCAGCTACAAAACCGCTTAGTTGATAACTAAAATAAAGAGCTAATAAAAGTAATAAGTTAATAATGTTGAAACTATTGTCTGACCCAAACAATCATACTAATAAACAAGTCATAAATTAATACACATTTTTAATGAACTGAATTCAAATTTCAAATAATTTTTAAGACAATGGCTTCAAAGTAGTTATGTTGAAATCTCCACACGATGGCGCTTTGGATTTAGTAGTAATTAACCTATCAATCTAAGTCAGGCAAAATGCATCTTCAAACATTTGCGTTAACTTTAAGTTTTCTAATCAAGTTCTGGGAAGGTCATGATCACTACAGGCAAACAATATAATTTAAATGATCAATATTTATTTAGGCTATTTATTTATTTTAATCCACAAGTAATTATTACACTTGAAAAAAGTGATATTTTATCTATCAGAAGTTTCAAAAAAAGACAGAAAAAAATGTAAAGTGTAAAGGCAGTAGCACAGGGCAATGAGCAGGACTTTTTAAACCACTCTTTAACAGATTTGCCGTGGCAACCCTTCACACAAGCGAAAGCATCCCCTCCTGTCCGAAAAAGCCCAGACTGGTTAGTGTGTCTGTGAAAAAGTCTTAGGTTGGTTGGGAAATAAGGCGAACTGTACTGCTGTAATCAGTGTGACATGCATGACTGCGCTCCTCTAATTCTCTTTCACATGGATAGATCCTTACAGACAGAGTTCAGCTTTCAGGTAGCCCCTCTTTAAGACTGTGATCCCCATACAGAAGCGTGTTTAGACTGCTTTAAACAGCTATATGGCACAGCAATGAAACATTGATACGACAATTAGTAGATTTTATGACTTTTATCGGATACAAACACCTTTACACAGACTCATACATTTTTATAAATTATACTAATATTTTTGTCCATTCATTATTCAATTTATTAGTACTTTTTTATTAGTATTATAATTGCAGACGTTTTATAGACCTAATATTAATTACCTGTGTATGGAAATGGAAAAAAAAATTAATAATAAATCTTGTAATTCAGAAAAAAATATCGTGTCATGCAGAGGGCTTTTAAATTGTTTTATTTTGCAGCCTAACATGACAGTCATAAATATCAATATTTTAAAAAGCATTTTTAAAAATGTTTAAAAGGTAACGTACGCACCAAAAAAATATAAGAATTTGGTTATTTTGTAGTTTTTACTCTTTATAAAGTACAAAATATACATTTTACATGTTATAATATATTTTATAATTGTATAATACATATCGACAATTATCTGTATAACGATTAAAAAAAAAGTTTGCATGTGAATATTTTACGCAGTGTAATATTTGTATGAAAATATATCAGGAATGTGTAAAAACATTTAAAATCAGGTGTTTGAGAAACACAATTGTAGTTATAATCTTTTTATATAACGTATATCATTATTAGTATTAAATATGGGATGAACTTGTTGCGTACAATGATGCTTTGGTGCAGCTTTGTGCATTCTTTTTGATCTTTAAATGTTACTTCCAAAGAAAACATGAATGTGGAATATCAGCTCATTCTTAAGATGTTAAAATACAGTCATCTTTTTTGTATTGGTTTGTTTGGTGTAATGTTGGACAATTAAATTACACTGTGATAGGAGAAAATTCTGTTGACGTATTGTTCTTCTTCAATGCACAACACACGTTTACAAAAAACAGATCGTAAATAGTCACATTACAGAACTTAAGAATCCAAAAGCAAGTTAAAAAGGTTTGTTGTGTCGGCTCCAAAGAGCGTTTGCATAAAATCTTGTGGTAAATTCAACAATAATTAATGGGATTTTATGCTTTAGTCTGTTTCACCGGTGCTTTTCTTTTGCGCGCTGTATAAAAAGTCTCAGTTGCTTTGGATATCCAAAGGGCTTGAATTCTTTAAAAGAAAAGAAAAAATCCACACATCTTTGATTTTTCCCTCCACGATGCAACACGATCTCGCACTTTAAAGCATAGCCAACCGTCAGGATTAAAACGTTCCCAGTGAAAAAAAACCATAAGATCCAGGCGTTTTGGCGCATGAAGTCCGAGGCTGGGAGCCTGGGAGAACACAATAAACCTGTTGTTAACCTTGCTGTGAAAATATGTTTGATGAAAACAGCCAATTATTGTATGAAATGTATTCAAGTATAAAATAATGCCCTTTGTTGGGCACAAACTTGAGCAATGTGGGGGTACAAAAGTCCCCTGTGGCATGAATTGCGCTTTGGCGTCGCCACTTGGCGCGTTACCCAGACCCCTCTATACGCGATTGTTTCTTTCTTTCTAATGGCATTTACCGGATCAAAACATGCTGTTAATTCGATCAGAAAGCTTCACCCTTCACAACAATACCAGAATAATTTCTCCCAAAGTTTGTTAAGTTGACCGAAATTAGGCAAATGAATAGAGGTCTCCAGGCGCAGGTGACGGGGAATAATGCGCGTCAGGACCAGCTGCATTCTTCTTTATTTCTCCTTTTCTTTTCTTTCACTGCATTATTAAAATTTAGGCCAATGAAACTATTCATTCCGCTCAATAGACATTTTCTTATAGGATAATAGGATACAAATTGAGCCCCTCTGAAGGGAATCCAGCGGTGGGTAACCCTCGTGTGCCAAAGACGTCTGGAGTCTCTAACATGGTCGGAGGGGCCGCTCGTGTGCCAGGCCGGGTCCCCACACCTGCCGAGGCCCCTAACAAAACTAGAGAATGTAAACAAAAACCCGGCCGTAGCCCATGAAAGATGGACGTGTCACCAAGTCGTGTGAGAAACGCCGCGAACAAACGGGGGACTCCGTCTCCAAAAGGTCTCCCCTGAACTCGGCGGAACAGCCTATTATGTGCTTACTTAATTACTATAATAACAGTAGACAGGCTTTAAACCTGAGACGGGCTTGGGATGAAAGTTAAGATGGCTTGCTGGGACCCAAAAACAGGCGATCGTGTGAGAAACGCGACGTGGAACAGAAAGAGACGCCTTGTTCCGGGGGCTTTGTTATCATTGCGCGCGCTGCGCTGCGCCCGCTCGCGAGTCATTTCTAGCAAGGCCTGTTACTCTGCAAATAATATTCTACAACCTATCACGTGTCTTTAGATAGGCCACGTGGATTAACAAAGTAGGTCTGCCCCCCGCTAGCCCACAGCTTCAGGTTTTACTATTTCTTTAACTGATCCTAAGTGCACACATTAACCAAAAGCTCGCCTTTAATCCTATGGAATAATTTAGGGCCATGAATGCGCCAGCGCTTTATAAGCGGCTGCCTCCAGTCAGCTCATCTCAGTCTGAACTGAAGCGTCTGGAAACAGGAGAACCTACTAGTCTAGCTACAATAGTTTCACAATTCTATCGTTTTTTTTTTCAAATTTTTTATCAAATGATGGCGTCTAAGATGAAGGATCGCAAGGTATGTGGATACTTTAGTGGCGCACACATGATGCCAGTAACTGCATGCAGTCCAAATACTCCTTGAATGTTTTGTTTAGATTTTTCTACCGCTATTATAATTAATTAACATGTTTCGCGTGATGTCAGCTTTTTCCAGAATTTCACAATATTTATATTTTCTACCGAAACAAGCATTTTCAGTATTGCTCGCGCGCATTTTCAGAAGACTATATAAGGGTAGGCTATAGACCGGTAGCTATTACTTGATTTCCCTGGTCTTGAATTTAATGCAAGCCAGTGTTTTATGCTAATTAAATTAATTCTATTTATTCACTTTATTGCGATGTAAAAGCGCTTTCCGCCATGTATGTATGTTTTTGCGCGCAGGGAAAGAGAGCGCAGCGCGGCTCACCATATGATTCATATCTTATGTAGGCCTATATTCGTTCGATGTATTTTATCAAACGAATAGATTATCTTCCCGAGTTACATTATGACTTCATATTCGTTGATTGCTTTTTGCATTTAGTAAAAACGTATCCAGCACACAATGCAACCAAGCTAATTTTGTGTTTGGTGGTGGCACTTTTCATCCCTTAACTCACTATTATCTTATTATGTTCTCTTCCCACAGAAAACTCCTGTTTCTCACAAGGTCATTGAGAAAAGAAGAAGAGACCGAATCAACAGATGTCTAAACGAGCTGGGAAAGACAGTTCCTATGGCACTGGCTAAACAGGTGCGCAGCTGAAACATTCAATGAGTTTAAGTGCGCTAAGTGTCAATGTCTGCATTAATTGTTAGTGTATATATGATGACTGGCAGACTTCGTATATTAAAACAGAATTCTGGGAAACTCGAGAAAGCAGAAATCCTGGAAATGACAGTGCAGTATCTGCGCGCGCTCCACTCCGCAGACTTCCCGCGCGGGAGAGAAAAAGGTGTGTAAGAAATACTGAGAAACCACTTAACATACATTAAAATGAACAGAGTGAAATACATCTATTGACATATTTAAATACGATCAAGTCAAATTATTCACTTTTTAAAACATCAAATCCAGCCCTTTCTTCCCTGCTGATCTCTAACAACGTTCTCTGTTTTCGCAGGAGAACTGCTGACAGAGTTTGCGAATTACTTTCACTACGGCTATCACGAGTGCATGAAGAACCTCGTTCACTATCTGACCACCGTGGAGCGAATGGAGACCAAAGACACCAAGTACGCACGGATCCTCGCCTTTCTGCAGTCCAAAGTCGTTACCGAGCCCGTGTTCGGCTCGTTAGGTACCATCTCTCCAGACCCTACGGACCTTCTGTGTCAGCTGGAGTACCAGAGTCCAAGTCCATCCGAGTCAGTGTTTCAGCAGAGCCCTCCCGGACACTTTTCCTGGCACAGCTCGGCGCGGAACCCCACGCTCGCGTACCCAGCGATGTCTCAGCACAGCGGATACTTGTCACCGGTTCAGGGACTCGATCACCATTACATGAACTTCATCGGGCACTCACACCCACACAATGCCTTCAGCTTACACAATGCACAACACGCTGCTCTGTAAATACGTCTGCAGATGTCCTTAATTTATATGTGTACATGTTTTATTTTAATAAGTAGATGTATCATGAAATAAATGATGTTTGAATAAGATTCTGTGTTTGGCACGATGTTGGAAGTTCTTTATCCTAGGAATATCTCTTTGGGATCTTCTGAATCCGCTTATATTCAGATAACAAACACAAACCTATGGGCTCTTTTTAATAAATAAACTAAATAGCCTAATTCATAATTTGAGCTAAATTTGAGCCAAAACAATAATGGGTATGAACAAGGAAGTAGACACTACGATGGTTTATATAAATCAAGTTCTCTTAACAGGCCAAATTGTATTATGCATTTAAAATCTGTCCAGCTCTTTTCAAATATTGTAACATTGTAAGAAAACAAGCACATTTTCATTTATTCTGATATTTTGAACTGAGCATAGGATAGCAACTAGGTTTAGAGAACATTTATGCATCCACTATGGTTCTGAAGTAGCATTGCGTTATAAGTTAGAAGAGGAAAATTGTAGGCTAATTTTTTTATCATGAATAATGAAATTAAATAAAATGAAAAATAAATAAAACTTTTTATGAGAATGTAACCTTATATAATACATTCAAATCTCATTCAAATATTTTATTGCACAACAATATTGCAAGAAAATCATATTCTTAATTTCAGTTGTGACATGCACAAATTCTTATGAAGATACCATGGCTAAATTTGTCTTTCTAGACTGTATTGTCTCTTAAGATTAACCCTTGGCGTAATGGTCTGCTGGCCTGAGACCCCTTGATTGACAATAAGCCTCATTTTAGGGGAATCCATTTGGACACAAATCCAGCCCCCCATCCTATCCCAGTGTCTCTTCCACCTATATTTAAATAGGATGCAAATAACAAATCAAACTGCTAAATACTAAGTATTCTAGGGAGGGAGTGTAATGGATGTAAGATGTTTTAACACAGGCAATTTTAACAGAGGCAGTGTTCATATAGGCTACAGTCGCTGTAATGAGTTTGTGAACAATTTAAAAATATCTGCATTTCTGCATTGCTTACTCATAAAATGAGTCTTATCTTAATCCAAGTCACCATTATACAGACAAATACAAACTGACTAAACTAATAACACACAAACAAGCACTAAACCATGATGCCTCTTCCATCATGCTTCACAGTGTTGGGAAGAGGTTTTGGTGTTTGTGTGCAGTGCCCTTTTTCCTCTGAACAAAGCCGTTTTTGGCCCCAAATATTTTTTTTTCCAGGTTTGTAGGATGCCCACTGTTAGGGAGAGTAGCAATAATTTTCTACATTTGTAGACAGAGTATCCTACCATGGATTTGTGAACACCCAGGCCTTCAGCAATGTTTTCTTAGCCTTTCCCAGCTTTGTGCATCTCTGTAATGCTTTTTTAAGGTCTTATGAAAGCTTTTGGGATTGAGGCATAGTTCACACTAACCCATCTTTCTCGAGATTTGTCGGCAGGCTTTGTGTGCTTTTATTTATCTCATCTCCTTGATTGACTGTCTAAACACAGAGCTTCAGTTACATTCCACACCTACTCAATGTCTTCAGCAAAACTTCGTATATTAAAACAGAATTCTGGGAAACTCGAGAAAGCAGAAATCCTGGAAATGACAGTGCAGTATCTGCGCGCGCTCCACTCTGCAGACTTCCCGCGCGGGAGAGAAAAAGGTGTGTAAGAAATACTGAGAAACCACTTAACATACATTAAAATGAACAGAGTGAAATACATCTATTGACATATTTAAATACGATCAAGTCAAATTATTCACTTTTTAAAACATCAAATCCAGCCCTTTCTTCCCTGCTGATCTCTAACAACGTTCTCTGTTTTCGCAGGAGAACTGCTGACAGAGTTTGCGAATTACTTTCACTACGGCTATCACGAGTGCATGAAGAACCTCGTTCACTATCTGACCACCGTGGAGCGAATGGAGACCAAAGACACCAAGTACGCACGGATCCTCGCCTTTCTGCAGTCCAAAGTCGTTACCGAGCCCGTGTTCGGCTCGTTAGGTACCATCTCTCCAGACCCTACGGACCTTCTGTGTCAGCTGGAGTACCAGAGTCCAAGTCCATCCGAGTCAGTGTTTCAGCAGAGCCCTCCCGGACACTTTTCCTGGCACAGCTCGGCGCGGAACCCCACGCTCGCGTACCCAGCGATGTCTCAGCACAGCGGATACTTGTCACCGGTTCAGGGACTCGATCACCATTACATGAACTTCATCGGGCACTCACACCCACACAATGCCTTCAGCTTACACAATGCACAACACGCTGCTCTGTAAATACGTCTGCAGATGTCCTTAATTTATATGTGTACATGTTTTATTTTAATAAGTAGATGTATCATGAAATAAATGATGTTTGAATAAGATTCTGTGTTTGGCACGATGTTGGAAGTTCTTTATCCTAGGAATATCTCTTTGGGATCTTCTGAATCCGCTTATATTCAGATAACAAACACAAACCTATGGGCTCTTTTTAATAAATAAACTAAATAGCCTAATTCATAATTTGAGCTAAATTTGAGCCAAAACAATAATGGGTATGAACAAGGAAGTAGACACTACGATGGTTTATATAAATCAAGTTCTCTTAACAGGCCAAATTGTATTATGCATTTAAAATCTGTCCAGCTCTTTTCAAATATTGTAACATTGTAAGAAAACAAGCACATTTTCATTTATTCTGATATTTTGAACTGAGCATAGGATAGCAACTAGGTTTAGAGAACATTTATGCATCCACTATGGTTCTGAAGTAGCATTGCGTTATAAGTTAGAAGAGGAAAATTGTAGGCTAATTTTTTTATCATGAATAATGAAATTAAATAAAATGAAAAATAAATAAAACTTTTTATGAGAATGTAACCTTATATAATACATTCAAATCTCATTCAAATATTTTATTGCACAACAATATTGCAAGAAAATCATATTCTTAATTTCAGTTGTGACATGCACAAATTCTTATGAAGATACCATGGCTAAATTTGTCTTTCTAGACTGTATTGTCTCTTAAGATTAACCCTTGGCGTAATGGTCTGCTGGCCTGAGACCCCTTGATTGACAATAAGCCTCATTTTAGGGGAATCCATTTGGACACAAATCCAGCCCCCCATCCTATCCCAGTGTCTCTTCCACCTATATTTAAATAGGATGCAAATAACAAATCAAACTGCTAAATACTAAGTATTCTAGGGAGGGAGTGTAATGGATGTAAGATGTTTTAACACAGGCAATTTTAACAGAGGCAGTGTTCATATAGGCTACAGTCGCTGTAATGAGTTTGTGAACAATTTAAAAATATCTGCATTTCTGCATTGCTTACTCATAAAATGAGTCTTATCTTAATCCAAGTCACCATTATACAGACAAATACAAACTGACTAAACTAATAACACACAAACAAGCACTAAACCATGATGCCTCTTCCATCATGCTTCACAGTGTTGGGAAGAGGTTTTGGTGTTTGTGTGCAGTGCCCTTTTTCCTCTGAACAAAGCCGTTTTTGGCCCCAAATATTTTTTTTTCCAGGTTTGTAGGATGCCCACTGTTAGGGAGAGTAGCAATAATTTTCTACATTTGTAGACAGAGTATCCTACCATGGATTTGTGAACACCCAGGCCTTCAGCAATGTTTTCTTAGCCTTTCCCAGCTTTGTGCATCTCTGTAATGCTTTTTTAAGGTCTTATGAAAGCTTTTGGGATTGAGGCATAGTTCACACTAACCCATCTTTCTCGAGATTTGTCGGCAGGCTTTGTGTGCTTTTATTTATCTCATCTCCTTGATTGACTGTCTAAACACAGAGCTTCAGTTACATTCCACACCTACTCAATGTCTTCAGCAAAACTGAGAAACTTAAAGTGTGAAAAGTAAAGCTGTCTGTGTTATTAGTTAAGTCAGGCTGTGTTTGTGAGTTAGATTAAGTTCATGAATAAGCAATGCAGAAAACCCTAAGAGTTCACAAACTTATTCCTGTGATGTCAGTCTTTCCCTTTCTCTCTCTCTTTCACAAACATACAACTTTTCACAATTTTCTACATCAATTAAATGTTCCCTTTGCATACAAAAACAAATTTCCCAGTAATTCTTAATATTTTACTACTAATAAAAGTAACACATTATTTAATTTATTTAAAAACTGTTGACATATAAAGCTGTTAGTAATTCAAAAGAACCATTTTAAATGACCCTATTCATTACCATTACACTTTAATGGCTTATATAAACCACAACAGTAATTTACTTTTACAGTGTGTTTATTTAATTTAATTTAATTTTACTATTTAAAATAACATTTTATTATTATGTATTTTAAGATGCTATTCAAGTCTGTAATGGCAAAGCTGAATTTATGAGTTGTTACAGTATTTAGCGTCACATGATTCTTCTGAAAACATTCTAATATGCTGATTTGGTGCTCATTTCTTTCTATTATTATTATCAATGTTGAAAACATTACAAATTTCCTCAAACTTATATTAGATTTGGTTAGATTCTAAATGGTGACATATGTAGTATTTTTTCTAAAATCCTTGGCATTTTCTGAGACAATATTTATCACTGCATGTTCATAGTCATTTTCCCTTTTTAAAATAATGTTTGTATTTTTCTGACATCATATTCAAGGGAGTGACATCACCTAGCTCAGTAGTTCAACTCTGTTACGGGAGAAGATCATAGTGAAACATTGTGAAAGCACAAGAATATTGATTGTAAATAATGCACAGCGATATATGCTAAAGCCGTATTACACAGTGCCGTTATATATGTGATATGTGAATCAGTCTGGACAATATGTGCCATTTCCATACTTGACTTAAGCAAATCAGACAGACAGTACTGTGGCCAGGATTAGTTTAAGGGAAAGACGGCCACTATAGTGGAAAATAAAAGAACTCTACCCACATTGCATATAATTTTACCAGGTTCCAGTCAGCCATGACGCTGATTGTTTCTGAGATGTTGGCACTTGTGTCCCTCCCTCTTTAACTGTAGAGGGTTTACTCTCTTTGGCCTCTACAATGGCATAGAAGAAGCGAGCCACACCCCTCTCTCCACCCCCGTCCCGCACGCTTCTGACACCCCAACTACCAGAAACCAGTATCACTCAGATCTCCTCAAACAGGACACCTGAGAGAGAAATAAAGATAAAGAGCTAAAGGGACATACTGTCCTAGAATATCATGATGGGTACAAAACAGGTGTGATTCTGTCCTGATAGGTGACTTATGCCCGGGACCCCTCCTTCTCAAAGCCTGAATTCATCCCATCACCGTTAAGTCCTTCTTTAAGTAAGTTGTATGGCACCAGCTTCCAAAAAAGCACAAGGAAAGAGAAAAGGGAGCGAGAGGGATTCTGGAGAAGGAGGGAGATTGTGGTACATTGGTGGGGGTTGCTCCATTGTGATGGAGCTGAAAGGAAGACAATTTTGGGTTCCTTGGGCTTCATCCTTGAGTGGGCCTGAAGAAAAATAATCAGCCCCTTGAAATCAAAGCTCCTAAACAGAGGGCCAGAATTCAGGCATGAGACTGGGATGCAGGATACAACCACACACTCAGATGCATTATTATATTATATTTATATATTTTTTATATTATCTTAAAATATTACGTTTTTATAATTTATTTATTTTTGAAAGAAGTCTCTAATGCTCACCAAGGCTGAATTTAATTAATCAAAAATATGGTAAAACAGTAATATTGTAAAATATTATTATAATTTCAAATCTGTGTTTCCTATTCAAATATATTTTAAAATGTAATTTATTCTTTTTGATGGCAAAGCCAAATTTTCAGCTGCCATTACTCTAGTCTTCAGTGTCACATGATCCTTCTGAAATCACGCTAACATTCTAAATCGGTGCTCATGAAACATTTCTTGCTGAAAACACTTGTGCTGTCTAATATTTATGTGGAAACTGTACATTTTATCAGGATTTTTTTTTAACAGAATTTACTTGAAATTATTATTTTTATATAATTATAGATGTCTTTACTGTAGGGCTGTAAAAAAAAAAAGTGAATTTTGAATATTTGTCGAATTTAAAATAAAAATCCACATTCGAATGCAAAAACGTTGCATTCGAATTTTAGGTGTGAATTTCGAATATTTGTCGAATTTAAAATAAAAATCCACATTCGAATGCAAAAACGTTGCATTCGAATTTTAGGTGTGCATCAGGCAGCCTTATCAGTGGTGCACGAGATGCGATGATGATGTAAGTTTCATTGAATTTTAATGTTTGTCTTAGCCTATCCAGTTGAACCCACTAGATCAGGGCTGTCCAAACTCGGTTCTGGAGGGCCGGTGTCCTGCAGAGTTTAGCTCCAACCCTAATCAAACACACCTGAACCAGCTAATCAAGCTCTTACTAGGCATAGAAACTTCCAGTCAGGTGTGTTGAGGCAAGTTGGAGTTAACTCTGCAGGACACCGGCCCTCCAGGACCGAGTTTGGACAGCTCTGCACTAGATGCAGCGCTGCTACTTTGTTCATTAAAATATTGCGTGAAAAAATAACATCAATGCGGAGATGATGTTGTTTACGTCAAAACCGACACCAAACCATTCACACAGAATGGATATTTATCACATTTTCTAGAGGGACGTCTATCACCGTTGCACTCGCATCTTGCACAAGAGAGACGCATGTTTACAAAGCCATTAATGTAAGTTCAACATTTTAAATACATGTCTCAAGACTTTATGGCGGTTTTTTCCCATCCTACTGCATCTTATGTTTTTAAATTAAGAAAGTACTCTTTGTGATTGCTTTTCGGTCTTTTGTATTAAACTAGCCTATACATACATGCAAGATTCTGTTTTGTTTCTAATTGTTTAAGCAATATTAATTATATAAGGTTTATAAACATTATTTTAAACATTATGCACTTTTTTCAAAGATAGTAATGTTATTTTATTATGCTTTGAAGAAACCTGCATAATATTTTGTTCAATGCGCCCTCTTGTGGCCTCAGGAGAGAACCCAAAAGCTTTTTTCACCCCTAACTGAAATTATGACTTTTAAATTCGAATATTGATAATATTTAAGTACAAAATTCGAATTTAGTTTTTCAGCCATTTTGACAGCCCTTCTTTACTGTCATTTTTTATCAATTTAATGCATCCTTGCTCAAAGAATTAACTGAATAAAAAAAGTTTTGATGATAGTGGATGCATCAAAGCTCACCAAGACCCTCCGATGTCCAAAAAGTGAAATCTAGGATCTGTCTTAGTGCATGAACAACACAAACACCTACATTAACAGCACTTTTGGGAAGAA